TTTTGTTTACTCAAAGCGCAATTTTTTAAATAGAATTCAATTTTCCCCCACTTCCCATTTTTGTGCAGTGACGTCATTGACAATTTTTTTAAATAGTAACCTCAATTTTTTTTTCTTGATTTTGATAGATCTTGCAATTTTCTACTCGGAAACATAATATTTGAAATATCTTACATAACAATTTTTTTGAATAAAAGACATTTAAAGATCAGACACATAAATTTTATTTTATTTTGAGAACACAATAAATGAATAAAAGATAATTATTTGTAATTAAATGCTTAATCTAACAAAATAATAATAATAATAATAATAATAAAAAAGAATTTGTGAAATTGTCTTTAAATTCTTTTTATTATTATTATTTTTTTAGATTAAGCACTTAATTACAAATAATTATCTTTTATTTATTTATTGTGTTTCAAAATAAAATAAAATGTATGTATCTGATCTTTAAATGACTTTTTTTCAAAAAAAATTGTTATGTCAGATATTTCAAATATTATGTTTCCGAGTAGGAAATTGCAAGATCTATCAAAATAAAAAAAAAAATTTGGGGTTGCTATTTAAAAAAATTGTCAATGACGTCACTGCCTAAAAATGGGAAGTGGGGGAAAATTGAATTTTATTTAAAAAATTGCGCTTTAAGTAAACAAAATTGACCTGTCCGAGCATTTTTTCGAAAAACCAAATACTTCCATTATAATGAATTTATTCCTTTCATTTGAACCATACTGTATAATAAATAGGTTAACATCAAAAATTTAAATAACAAATTATTTAAACATAAAATGTTATCCAGTTCGTTTTATTTGGCTATTATCACAAAATAAATAATTTAAATTTAATGTCTTATTCTCAAAAAACATTTCATGTTGTTTCGACTTCGAATTTCCTTCGCAACGTCCCAGGGGGATGCGCTTTCCAAATTGTGAATCATTGCTTCTGAATAATATCGCATCATCTAAATTTCATTGTTCCCTGTATTTATGCCAAAAATTTCCCGGAACACCAAAAGCTACGAAGATTATGGTTTTGAATTTTGAAAGGTTCGATATCACTTTTATTGTGTTGCTCTGCAGACGCATTCAATGTTCGCAGAAGGTAAGAAAAGAGATTCATAAATTCGGAATAGCCTAATTATCGATTAATATTCCTGTAAAACTGGGACATAATACGGAGGAGCAGTGGCGTTTCAGTACCAATTATACATATATATTAAAAAAAAAATGAATGAAGCCAATTTAAGTTGTTTTTCAACATTAAGTAATCCACCTATGAAATTGTATTGTAACAATGTTCTTACTGTTAAATGGTATACTCCAGGGGTTCTTGTGGGGATCATTACTATTTGTCTGTTATATAAACGATTCATCCTTGTCTTCCAAAGCAAACAAACTTTATTTTCATAAAATGACCTTTACTACTTCATTCACATAAGGATTGTGATTTCCGATTATTTAAAATCGTTAAAAGATAACCAAAATAAATTTAACTAAACATTTTATGGGAAAAATTTAAACAGAGACGACGAAATAAAACAAGAAGAAACATAAAGATAAAACTGTACTAAAAATCAAAACAGGAATGGTAAGTGGAAAAGATGAAATAACTGCGAAAATTATAAAATGATTGGAAGCAAATGGAAAAAAAAGGATATGAGTAATATGCAAAGAAGCATGGCAAGAATAAATGATACCAAGTGGATATGGAAATATTCTTGTAATATCCATATAAAAGAAGCAAAGACAAATTGCGTGCGATAAGTACAGAGCTACATGTTTTTGGCCCAAACCAGGTTCAAACTAAACCAAAGAATTCTAGAAAATGAAAAAGAGAACACGCAGACCAGAAATTAGATTAAGAAAAGCTTTTAGACCAAAAAGGAGACAAGGGAAAACATACACATTTTAAGAAACTTCATAGAGACAAAAATGGAAGAAGGGAAGAAATATATCTGAATTTTACAAACCAAAATGTAGAATTAGACACAGTGAAAATAATAGAAATATGGAGAAGCATTAAGAAAATGGAAATCCTCAACACATTAATAAACGCAATAAGAAGCACCTGCGGGACAGCAATAGAAAAGTACAACCAGTAGAAGAAAGGTCGGAAGAATTTAAAATAAAAATGGGATCAAACAGGAAGGCAGTTTAAGCCCATTACTATTTATGGAAAAGAATTGCAAAACGAAAGGGGCGAAATTAAACACAGAAATTAGGTTCAAAATCTATATCCTGTTAGATTGAATATCAAAATGATGTGTTATTGATATCAAATAAAAAAAAAAAACAAAATGCAAAAATTAATGACTTTATGGACTAGAGAAATAACCGACAATAAAATGAAAGAGAACATATAAAACAAAACTGATAGTAAATTATTGACAAACAAAATAACAGGGGGAATAAATGCAAAAACATATTATTATAAAAAGTAACAACCTAAGAATATATTGGAAGTATACTGACAGAATATGGAAAAATAGAATTATAATTAACAAAAATAATAAAAAAAATATAATATTTAGTAAACAAAACAATACTGGGATATACAAATCAAAATCCACAATATATTAACAATAACAACATTAACTTTTGCCTGCGGAAACTGGGTAATACGCAAAAAAATTAAATAAAAATTCACTAACAGAACAAAAATTATTTATAGAAGAAATAAAAAAGAAACAACTAAACTCGTATAGACTTTAGTTTAGAATAAAGCCAGACAGAATAACAAAAATAACCTCTGAATTAGAAAAAAGAACAGAAAGACAAGGAGGAGGAAAAGAAGAAGACAAAGAGGAAGACAAAGAGAAAGACAAAGAATAAGACAAAGAATAAGACAAAGAATAAGACAAAGAATAAGACAAAGAATAAGACAAAGAAAAAGACAAAGAATAAGACAAAGAATAAGACAAAGAATAAGACAAAGAATAAGACAAAGAATAAGACAAAGAATAAGACGAACAGGAAGAGAAAAAGGAAGACAAAGAGGTAGGCAAAGAGGAAGCCAAAGAGACAGACAAAGGTGAAAATAAACAGGTAGAAAAAGAATAAAATGGATATACCAAATTAAAGAAATTGGATCAGAATTAGGGAAAAATAAGATCTTAAAATTAACAAGCGACAGAAAGGCCTGGAATGGGTAAAATAGGACAAGGAATCGTTTTTCAACATTTATAAAGGCAAAAAAGAATAAAAAAATGAAGAAAAGGAATAAGATAAGAAATGAGAAAACGAAGAAGAAGAAGCACAAAAAGAAGAAAAAGAAGAGAAAAATAAATTAAAAGTATACAACCAAAAATTAAAAAGATTAATAAGGTTTTCGAGAAAGAGGTGTACATCTGATTTAGGTGTTCTATAAACGCAAATAATAAACAAATCAATGTTTTTGTTGTTAACTATCGAAAATTCGAAGACATTTTTGCTAGTGAAAAATCCTATTTAGATACAGTGGAGAAGTCATCGTTTAAGGATAAAATTAGAGTCGCTCTCTAGTCTGCACTAATCTGCCATATTTGCTAGTTATAGTGTAAGATTGAGTGATGTGGTATTGACATCAAATACAAAAAACAGAGTGCATAAGTTAATGATCCTATGAACCAAAAAATACAGAACAAAAAATTGCAAGTCAACATAAACAAAACAAAAATGATAATACTAAATTAAAGTCAAATAATTAATAAAAATAAGAGGAAGGTTAAATGCAAAAACACAATACCAGAAAGGGTAACAACCTGTGAATATTTGAAAAGTTACTGATAATAGATTAACAAACAGAAGCAGAAATAACAGAGTGAACAAATCAATCAAAATGTATACTCATTAAAACAAAACAAATCTGGGATGTAAAGACTTATGACTGCGAACACTGGGTAATACGCAAGAATTATATTAAAAAATTGCTATTAAAATGAAACAAAAACGGCAGAAAATACCAAATATAACAGATTAAAAAATAATGATATTAGAATTATAACAGAACAAAACCAAGTAATGGAAGAATAAAACAGAAACAACTAAATTGGTAATACTTATTATGATTAAGAATGAAGCCATACATAATACAAGAATAGTCTCAGAATTAGAAAAACTAGCTAAGAAACAAAAAGTAGGGTCAAGACGCTAAAATTACTGGAAAAATGGACGAGAAGGGATCCTCTTCCAACATCTTATTAGGCAAAAAACTTGAGAGAAAAAAGAAGAAACAAACAAATTAAAACTATACAGACAAAAATCACATTTGTTGGTATCTACTTGTTCAACATCACAAAGTCATTAAGTTAAATTTTTTGTTATCGGAAGTGAAAAACAATTGATATATCATACAGGTTTATCGTCGTTGTAATCAAATTACATCACAATATTACACATTTAATTAGAAAAAGCCAAACAAAAATGGAACGAATTTTTGCACATTTATTTTAAAACGTGACCCGTTTTTTTATAGAATACGAATATGTATTTTGTATCCACTGTGAAATTTTTTTTCTGAAGGTTTTTTCTCATCTACACTAGATACGGAAATAACTAAGTAGGTAATTCACAACGCACTATATTATTTTAATTATTAATTTTTTGACGGTATTATATTTATAAAACAATTTACTATAAATACTATAATCAAAAATTCAAGAATGACATTTACAAACACAAATTTCAAAATTTCTCACCAATATAGTAAAAGTGGAGTTAGTTATATCACGTGATTATATTATCTTCTTCCCTTACGACGACCCTGTTAAAAAATTAATTACCTTCAACATATGTAATTTTGATGTATGTTTTAATATCAAAATACGTTGATTGTACGAAAAATTGTGTATGATAAACATTATCTAAAATGTATCAAACAGTAACAGTCTTTTTTTATAATATTTAGGGTTATATATAGTAGGTGTATAATGTAGGAGTATAGTAGGAGTAGAATAATGAAATATGGACCGCTACTGCGGTGAACCTTATATAATGAAGAGATTATCTCTTTGTACTCACTCTTCCAATTGCCTCCTTTTCTTTTGCTTTTGAGGCTGAGGCTTGTGCCTTATTTCTGGCAAATATTCGACGTCTAGTACCGGCAATGAATGATGTAATCGCTCTCTTTCCCTACAATATTAAAAATAAGCTCAAGCTAAAAGTAGCAATTTTAAAGTATCAAGAATTCTTACCTGAGATCCATTTTATATATTATTAAATATTGTTTTAAAATCACTGGTAATGTTTTTTCATACGTTATTATTCATATTGGTTGTTAGTGTTGAAATGGTAAAAAAATTTGATATTAAAAGTATTGGGTAAAAATTAGAACTAATGTGACAATTTTATATATAAACAGCAAAAAGTTGCCATGTTTGCTCTTTGATATAGTTTATTAATATATCTCGTTTTCTTAAGACCACCTATGTAAAAATTGATTAACGAACAACCACATATATATTTAAGTTAGGTGACTTCGCAAGTAATCGAGCACGAACTTCATGTTTAATTGCCAGTAAAAAAATAGTATTTAATACAAATAATTATACAGTAGGGAAGGTTGAAAATTCGATATTTCTCTGTCTAACAGTATTTTAACCAAATGCTTCCACAGGTGTTAAAAACGGATAAAGAGAAAAACAACCTGATTAAATTTTGGACATAGTCGAAGCATCTGGGGGTAACTTATAGAGCGTCGTTTTTTACTTTAACCCTTAAGTAGGCGCGCCAACTTTTTTACATAAGTAGTCGCGGGAACACTTTGTGCACCTTACGTTCAATGTTGTAATACGATTCAAAATGTTATAGATGTATGTATAAAAAAAATGCATAATATCAAAAAAAAAATATATTTCTTATGTAATATTAAAATTAAATATATACTCAGGTAACTTTATTCCTATTACAAAACAAAAAAAAAAAACATAAAAGAGAAATGTAGTAAAACAAATAAAATAAAATCAATTCTATAAAAAAAAAATTATAAAAATATATTTTAGAAACTCAGGTCGCTGCCAGTTAGTCTTGAACAATTTTGGCAAGTATACCTGAGAAGTCAATATGTTTTTTACAAGCGAATTTCCGATAAGTACTACATTTTATCGTGGTGTTTATCCTTTTTGCTTTCTGGCAAAAACAACAGCGACCACTACGTTTTTCTTCTGGAACATTTTCTTGGACCTCTTCTTCAACTCTATATTTTGACAGAATTGATTTTATGTTCGTCGGTAGCAAAAAAATTGTAGCTCGTTCTCTTAGATGCGGTTTTATCAAATTCGATGACAGGTTTTTCAAAACGATTCTCCTTAGTTGTGGTGACTTGGAATGAGAGACATTACAAATAATTTGGGCTATTCCTGCTACATTCAGCAGTGAAAAAACTACAGCTAAAGGCCACTTTCTAGTTCTTCTTGAAACAGAATATGAGTTGCACAATTGATCTACTGTATCAATTCCTCCTTTGGTTGAGTTGTAGAAGGTTCTAACAACCTACACACAATGTCTGTTGGAGTATTTGACTTTGAATAGGGCCCATCTGGTTGTTTTCCGCAATAAATTTCTAGATTTTGCGTATAATATGTTTTGGAGTCGCACATTGCAAAAATCTTGATACCATATTTGGCGGGTTTATTTGGTATGTATTGAATAAAGCTGCAACGGCCTCGGAATGGTTCTAGTTTCTCATCTATTGTGACGAATTCCCCAACACAATAGCTTTTTTCACAATTATCTACAAACACATCTAAAGTAGATCGAATTGGGGCTAATTTATCTATTTTTCGTCTGTCAGATCTTGTCTCCTTATCATCAAACCTAATGCTACCCATAAGAAATAAAACTCTTTTGTAGCTCATGCAGCCGCGAAAAATTTCGATGCCAGTGCCATCATCTATCCATAGCTCTTAGAAATTAGTGTGATTTGTCTCTTTAACTCCAGCAAGATAAAGTTAGCCTAAAAATGGCAGCAGTGCAGCTTTTGTAACTTCCTTGGCGTCCCTTTCTCTTCCATATTTGGGAGTTTGGTAATTTCGAACGTAAACATTAGTGTTCATAAGTATGTCATCAATCATTTGGACATCTGTACATTTTTTAAAAGCTGTAGATTCATCAGGAATATCTCTCCAGGTTAAATTTTGATGATGTTTTGAGCATCAATTTTACTAAATTAAGAAATAAATGGATTTTTATACCTTTTAGTTTGTTTGTCCCTTCTAAGAAAAAAGTCTTGATCATCCATATTATCGTCGTCAGAGTCAACCATATTTTCGTCATCAGATTCCTCTACATTCTGATCCACGCTTTGTTCTGAGTCAATATCAAGCTCACTCTCATGAAGAATTTCTTCTTCGGAATATTTAGATTCAATACAGTAAGTATCAGTCTCTCTTGCAGAACCAATGTCATCTCCATCATTCTCTAAATAATAAGCTAGTTCTGCATCGGTCAATGTATTCACATTTCTTGGTTCCCTGGAAATAATAATAGATAACAATATTTTATTATTATAAAAAAACTGTAACCAACAATTTCGGACCGTCCAAAAATCTTTTATACTGTTTATCAAACACTATTTTAGAAAAATAATATAAGCAAATAATAATAATAAAAATATAATACATAAGTGGTCGCGCCGGAGCACTTTGTGCACCTTTGGAGCAGCCTGCTTCATGTACATCAATATTTTAAGACACCCTTATTCAAACTACTCACAAACGCTAGTACAGGCACTGCACATCACAGTGTTAGGTTAGATGGGTGGGGCGGCAATATTAGGACCAATCAAATAAGTTATGACTCTTTTACTGAAAACGGAGCACTTAGTGCATCTGCGCGCGACTTAAGGGTTAAGGAATATCACTGTTATTTACAATTGACGAAGAAAATTCTTTGTTAATACAGAACATTCACTTATATTTAAATACTTTCACTATATTTTTTACGTTGCTAGTTGTTTTTCACTTTTTTGTTAGCTTTAGTTGTCATATTTTTGATATTTGTTACATATATTTTCATACGATTTCTAAATAAAGTATTTTCATATTGTTAATATCTGCATTTATTAATTTGAATACTATTTCGTATAAATGTTAACCATCAGAAAAATCAACGATTTGCAATCTGCTGGTAGTGTGACAGAAATACGGAGTAATAAAGAAATTAAGAAACTACGGTGTGCAGATAATTGGACCATCTGGAAATTAGCAATAGAAAACCTGTTGTGCGCAATTAATGAAGCGTATGAAATCTATATCAGGGAATTTAACAAACCGATACTAATTCATGTAGACGCGTCTCTGAAATAGACAAAGAAATATCAGAACGAACTGATAATATGGGATAATAGTAATCGTAAAGCAAGTCGTCATCAAATCGGTGAAAGATAAAGTTATGTCACTTCTAGTAACTTGTGCTGAGCCATGTGGCATAAACTACATTTTCGATTTGAATAGAAAACCAAAAAAGTTGCGCATATTATTCAAGCAGACTTCTTCTGCTTTATCATGATTTCTGATAATGACATAGTCGTCCACATTTCAAAGTTTGAAGGACTTGTATTACTAATGCAAACAATTAAATTTAAAACCTAATGAAGCATCCTTAATCATCAATATGCTAGATACTTTACCAGATCAATAAGAATTTCTTTAGCAAGCTTGGTGGGCAAGACCGGAAAATTAACAGAAGCTTTATAATCCTATAGGAGTTCTAACTACAGAAGAAACGCGTCCTAACAACGAGTTGAAAATCTGAAAGAAGCTGTTGCACTTATTGCCAATAAATTACAGAACCAATCATCTGTTACTAAGAATCAAACATGTCTAAAATGCTCTTATTATGATGAAAGAATCTGCCTTTACAAATAAAAAAAATAGGCTTCTGTTTCTGAAATTGAAAATGCTGAACACGACAGTGACTTTTGAATTGTTCTGAACAATTCAGTACCTTTCTAAAAATTCATATAGGTGATAATTCCACTATGAATCTCCTTAGAAGCTAAGGTAAATGGAAGAAGGTTACCATATCGTATGAAAATAGTAAATTAAAATACAAGTTGCAGAAGGCTACATATTCTACAACGAATTTGAAATTTGGCCACGAGCGACGAACGAGCGAGTAGACGAAAGAATAAGTGCGAGAATAGCCTTCTGCTACATGTGTTTTATACTATTTTCTTAATTTTGGGCTTTATATACAGTTTTCTTTTTTTTTTGTTATTTTTAGTTGGGAATTTTTTTGACAAAATATGTCAGTTAGTGGCACTAGTTCGTTACTAACCAACTGTCAGGTGAAAAGGTGTTACTAGCATTGAGATATAATAAAGAGGAGATGCTATGACGTTGCAAAAGTGTCTGCACTGAAAAAATGAAATGGTTAAATGAACAAATAAAAAGTTGTGTCAACCGTTTCCGATGCTCATATATGGCGGACCTTCTGCATGTATTGGTTTAACCATAAAATAATGTTGAATTAATGATGGTTCCTTTAATAGTTTACATACTTCGTGCAAAGTACAACTATTTGTTGCAACAAAGATGGAAAAGGTTACACGAACATTTTTAAAATGTTGTTTAGTGGAATACGTGTAGTTCCTTTAACCTTTACACCATTAACCCAACCAATATTCACTGTCCACTGAAGCACTAGTAAACGTTGGAATAACACAATTAGGGGGTTGAATGTACGCCTTAAAATCAATAATCAACATTTAATTACATATTGGAAGAACACTGTAACTTGTTGAATTAAATACCAACAAATAGTTAAATGAACGTTGTAAACTGTTAAGTAAAATACTTTACACGTGTTGATTTGACTTTAAATTATGTACAGGGTGGGCAAATTTCGATGTTTTAATAGAGAATCTCGTTAACCATAAATGGTATGGAAAAATGGATCTCCCATCCTCAATATCTTTTTCCGAGAAAAACTTGGCATTTTCAAAAATTGGCTATTGTCTTTTGTTTTCGAGTTATAAACAAAAGTTCGTTTTTGCAAATTTTGATTATATGCCATTTCTTGCTTATTTATGAAATTAGAAGAAAATAATTTATACGTTCTTCAGGCACTTTTTTGATAATAATCCAGTGGCGTAGTTAATTTTTTTTTTAAATACAACTTTATGCTATAACTCGAATTTGATGAATTAAAAAAAATGACTACGCCACTGGATTCTTATCAAAAAAGTGCCTAAAGAAGGTTTACATTATTTTCTTTCACTTTCATAAATAAGCGAGATAATGCCATATAAGGAAAATTTTAAAAAACAAACTTTTGTTTA